GGGGGAGAGAGGAAAGGCGCAGCTAACGTATTCCCCAGAACAGAACGTTATCTCAGCATGACTGTATAGGATCGGAAAAATACCTTGTATACACATGATGAGGGTCCGCTGTATTCGGGGGAAGACAGTAGGAGGGAGGAAGGGAGAGGAAGGGATGGTATTGGTGAACTTTTTTTTCTTTTTTCTTAAATTAATTCATTAAATATTGGTAACCTGTTTTGTTTTACCCCCCTCGTTGCACGGGTATGGTCTCTAGACGGGATCCCATCATCAGATGGGCGGGTGTCATGCCACTGTGTAGTGGATCCCGATGCCCACCCGCTTATGATTTTCCTCGCGTTGTTTTAGTGTTTAGCGTTCTTCACCCTTTGCTCGTCACACTCTGGAAGGAGAGGGGACTGGATTCCGATCTTTGAGACACGGTGACACGAGTCGGATGCAATTCTCTCCTTTGCCCTTGGACAACTAGATCTAATATTTTTTTTAATTTTTTTTTCCCCCTTATTTCATTTTCATCCATCCCATCTTCATTTGAGCCTCAGTTCCCTCCGGTTGCTTCCCCTCCTCTCCTTCACCCCACGTCCTCCTTTTCCCCCCTTTTCCCTGCCCCCGCCTTCCCTCCCCTTTCTCCTTTCCAAGAAATCTCTCAGGAGAACTATAAATATTTGCACAATCTTTTCACTTTCGTGCCGTTTTTGGCAGCCGAATTCATCCCGACCGTCCAATCTGATGTATCAAATGCTGGTAGTTGGGTGCGAAATCCTATCGGATATTTATAATATTGGATGCGAAATCCGATCGGATATTTTAGAAAGGAATCAAATGACAAAAAAAAAAAAAAAGGGGGAAAGAAATCAAATGCGACAAAGCCCAGTCACAACTCCGAGAAGAGAGAAAAAACATCAATTGGAGGAGGGGGGAGTCATCCGTGAATTGCATCATTAAATCCCGAGAACGATCAGAAAGCAAGAAAAATAGAAAGCGGGTAAACATTGAGAGAGAGAGAGAGAGAGAGAGGGGTGGTTGGGATGCTTGTCTTGATATTGAGGGAGGTGGAAGAGGTGGAGGGACGATAATTCTGGAGTCCCTGAGGCCGCGCAGTTCGACTATGGTATCTCAAGGCTGTCGCTCTGTCCAAAGAAGGAAGAAGGAAGGAGAAAAGTGATCTATAACATGATGAAAGAAACGGATGAAGCGGCGTACAGATATTCCTTTTTCTTTTTTTTTTCCCTCGATTTACGGGTGTCATGCTTGCGCAGAGCCCATGGTAATCTTCTCTTTCTCTGTATCGTTCCAATTTTAACAGATGTCCCGAAGGAAGGACCATGCTTGTGCCATGGTCTGTATCGTTCCTGCGGGCCATGGTAATCTTGTCTTTCTCTGTATCTTTCCAATTTTAACAGATGTCCCGAAGGACGCGTTCAGATATATTCCTAATACAGTATGCCCGGGGTTTTTCTCCGGCATTGCGAAAACCGAGCCAGTCCTGAGCTTCTGAGCATGCATGTAAGAAGCCATAAACGAGGCCAACCGTCTTCCCTCGAACAGAACGCACACCCTTTCTTTATGCCTGTGGCAGACACGAAAGATAGCGAGCACACATTCGTGATGAGGGTGCTTTGAGAGATGAATATAGCCGTTAAAAGGGAAGAGGAGGGGGGAGGCGATGGTCGGCTCTTTATGCCCCCTATTTGCGGTACCTCGTCCATTCCCATGCCTCGTCTTCAGAAAGACTGCAGACACATGCCCCCTGATTACACTTCACACTTCAGACTTACGTTGGGCACCCACCACAACAACATGGAAATTCCCATGGGACCTGTCCCATGTGGGAATTGCTATGGGGATTGCCATAGGAATTGCCTGCCATGGGAATTGCCTGCCATGGGAATTGCTTGCCATTGGAATTGCCACGTGGCATCCTCCATGCTGACGTCAGATTACGCATCACAGTGGAGAGAGAGAGTATGGCTCGTCCCATGTGGGAATTGCTATGGGGATTGCCATAGGAATTGCCTGCCATGGGAATTGCTTGCCATTGGAGCTGCCATGGGAATTGCCACGTGGCATCCTCCATGCTGACGTCAGATTACGCATCACAGTGTAGAGAGAGATTATTGCTGTCTAGCGTATCGTGGTGCCACGTGGCATCAGGAGGCTCGTCCTGCATCCTGGTGTGGAAGGAATTTGCGGAGACTGGCTTCGAGTGCTCAAGCCAGCACGCCGCCAGACACACTTGTTTCTTCTTAAACTTTTTTTTTTTTTTCCCTTTCTTTCACTGCAGGGTGGTTCTGCAGTAGCAGTTGTTGCCACCATGGTTGTCGCAGAGCCTGAAGATATGCGCACCGCAAATGGGGGGCATAAAAAAGCTGACTATTCCCCCCCCCCCCCCCCCCCCCCCCCCCCCCCCCCCCCCCCCCCCCCCCCCCCCCCCCCCCCCTTTCCCTTTCCCTTTTAACTAGGCTGTATTCATCTCTCAAATTCACCTTTTCACTACCTACCTACCTACCAGTGGTCCTAAGGCCATATCTGTGACATGTCTTCATCCATGTCAGAAAAGGGAAAAAAGAAGAAGATAGAAATAGCTATCATGCATCTTGAAGCCATCCATATGAGAAGAGTGAGAATGACGCGACGCTCAGATTCCGGGGATACTACTCACACTAGGACGGATTAATGTGGGTCTGACGGTAATTACAGCCAAACCTAAATGAATCTGACCGCAATTATGTCGAAAGGACAGTCTAACAAGTCCTGGGGTGAGTATGCCTTGAACTGAGAGTGTGAGCGATCTTGGAAGTAACCCAACCTTGGTGGCGAGAAGCTTCAGAATTTCCTGGAACACGCACACAGAAACAAAAAAAAAAAAAAAAAGTGTTACGACAATCAATGTGCCTTGCATTTTCTTGTTCTAAGACTTGGACCATTCTCGATGATTGTGTGTCATCGTTGGACAAGTGCCATGCCCATCTTCTTCTATCTCCCAATTGTAATGGACGTCATGGGAGGGTGTATTTCGTCCATGCTGAATGTTCTAAACAGTGCGGCACAGACATGTTTGACAGCCAGCCAGTGGAAGAAAGCCCCTCCACAACAACATCCTGGAGAGATGGATGGATGGGTGGATGGGTGGGTGAGTAAGTGGTGAGTGGGTGGATGGATGGATGGATGGATGGATGGGTGGGTGGGTGGATGGATGGGTGGGTGATCTTCCACGAGAGAGAGAGAGAGAGAGAGAGAGAGAGAGAGAGAGAGAGAGAGAGAGAGAGAGAGAGAGAGAGAGAGTCTACAACAGCATCCTCTCATGTGATATACCCCTTGTGACATGTATGAATGCCAAACCTCTCGTTGAGAATCACATGTCGTTTGTGCATGCTTCGTACATGACAAAAAAAAAATGTGAATGAAAGGATGGCACAACCATGTGTGTCTTGTGAATGTGATGAGTGCAACCGCATCAAACTAGCACGGAGGCGGAGGCGTTTGGCAGGAAAGAAACAAAACACGGAAGTGAACATAACAGCATAGCCCTCCTTTCCCCGCTGCCATAACAGCATCTTCTCACACCCCTTGTGGCAACGTTTTAGTATGAATGCACGTCTCTGTGGTCAGGTACGTTGTAGGCAGGTACAGCTCGGCTTAGACTGATTTACACTACATCACGGCTGGGTCACCCTTTTTCCGCCTCG